TACAAAGCTCTCCATGGTCCAGTGTGTAATAGTATGTGGGAGTGAACTTGGGAGATGGGAAGAGCCACAACCAGGCCAATAGCCATATAAAAGTTAGCTTTACTATTTAGCAGGTATGTGGGCATGACAAAGTCTCAAGAGGGAACGTCCCTAGTTTCATTGACTGTAAGAATGACAGCAGAGAAATGTATTTTCAGATTTGCAAGATTCTGTTAATATAAACTTACCAAAAACTAGAATTAATTCAACTAGATGTGCTTCTTGTCTGGATAACTTCACCTGTCTATAGGGCCAGGCTATTTGTAAGATTGCCTTTCTCCCATTGTTTCTGCTGGTCCTACAGAGATTAGAGAAGACATGTTCCTTTTCCTTTCTATTAAACAATGCCATCTTGTTGACCTCTGAAATTGTGACTTATAAGTGGCAGTGCCTGACCTATGGAACACTCTTCCCCTGGAATTTTAAATGGCCTTGACCCAGTTATTTTTTGCAAGACGTTGGAGATCTGGTGTTTCCTCAGTTATTTGTCTCTCTTTGTTCTGACATCTTAAGGGAAGATAGACATCATATACCATACTTTAGAGATTAAACGTTTGCATATAACTGTAAAGTAGCACAGTGAGTGTTTGGTTTATTGTAGTTTATCAGATAGCTAGAAGTACAGGGGATATTTGGAAGATTTATTATAGTGCATCTCATAGTTACAAGTACAGGGGATATTTGGAGTGTCTCATTTGGAGCATTTGTGAGGAGTAAAAGCTTTATGCAATGATTTTTTATGTCTTAGTTTAGATTTATATGGCAGTTGTCCACAAAAGTTGCTTTTCTATCTGTTGTCCTTCTCTGTTCTAATACTAGTTTAACATTAGTGATCCAGGGATTAGGGTTGAAAATGCTTCAATTCCAAAAAAATGTTCAATTTATGGTTGAAAATGTCTGAAAATTATCCAGACTTAGGGTTGAAAATATTTTATTTTTCTCAGTTGTATCCTCTCAGTAATTGTTGAAGCTAAAATACCAACTTCCAATAGACAAGGGGAAAGAAATCGCCTCTTCATGTTGATGAATACACTGGGTTTTTGAATATCTATTATCTTTTTTTTTAGATTATGTATGTATGGCAGAAATCCTGTTGCTATACTTTGTTGTTGCATTGTTCTGAGTTTATAGATTGCATGGCTGATAATAATAATAATAATAAGACCAGAAGAATTGCCCTGCTAGATCAGGTGAAGGCGCACAATAGTCCAGCAATTAGTGGTAAACCAAATGTTTTTGGATTTCTATGCAATAGAAATATGCCACTCTTCCACTATTGGTTTTCTTCAAAAAGTATTTGAAGGATCCTAAGTCAAGTTTCCAAGACAGCTTTCTGTACTGCTCTTGACAGGAGCAGTATAGGTAGGTAGCTGAAGATTTATCACCTCAAGTGATATTTAGATTCACACAACCTAACAACTACATAGATAGATTTTCTCTGGGTCAATTTTCCCTAGCCTAGTCCTTCAGATCTTTTCATGGTGCATTCGTTGCCAGAATAATTGATTCTCTCCACTTTATTTATCTATATCCTGCCTTTATTATTTTTACAAATAACTTCACACAGTGAATGTATTCTACATACCTTCCTTCTATTGAATTGAATGTAATACTTTAGTTGTCCAAGTGTGATTACACACACAAGCAATTTGTTTTCCAGTACAGAAGCACTCAATGTACTTGCAAAGCAACAGAGAGAACAGTAATAATAACACCATAAAAGAGCTAAGTAAAGACATTAAAAAGGATAAACAGTAATACCATTTATTCTTATTATGATTTATAATAATGGTATTTTCCTCACAACAGCGACAACCCTGTAAGTTGCATTGGGCTGAGAGAGAGTGAATGGCCTAAGGTCACCCAGTTTAGTTTCATGGCCAAGGTGGAACTTGAACTCATAGTATCCTGCTTTCTAGCCGGTTGCCTTAACCAGTAAGACCAGTGGCTCTCTTTTGCTGCTGGTTGTCCTCTTCTTTATTTTCCTTCTATCTTTTCCAACATTAGAGCTTTCCTAGAAAGCCAGATCTTTGCATAAAGTGTCCAAAGTAGGATAATTTTAGCCTGGTCAGTTGTGCTTTGTGTGAGAACTATGGGTTGATTTTCGGGTGGGGGGGGGATAATCTATTGGTTTGTTTTCTGTCTGTGGCATCATCAGGAGACTTCTCCAATGCCAAAATTCAAAAACATCAATACTCTTTCTATCCTTACATTCCAAGTTTCACTTCCATGGATGTCATAGGGAATATTATAGCTTTCACAGTTCTGATCTTTTTATTTTATTTTATTGTCATTGCACCTCGTACAACGAAATCAAACATCATCTTCAGTGCACATCATGACCATAAAACACAAACACACATCCTTCACACTCCACACATTGAACCAAAAAACCCCAACACTGCACCAATACTGCACTATATAGCAGAATTCAAAAGAGCTACTGCCCTGGTATAGAAGCTGTTTTTCAGCCCCTTTGTGCTTGTTTTTATTATTCTGTACCGTCTGCCAGATGGCAATAGTTCAAAAAAAGGGTTCCTAGGATGAGATGGATCTTTGAGAATGTTTTGAGCTTTCTTAAGGCAGAGGGAGCTATAAAGCTCTTCCAAAGAGGGGAGAGGGCAATGACATCAACCCTCTGGAGTGCTTTCCTATATGCCACTATGCAATTGGCAAACCATACAGAGGTGCAATATGTTAAAATGCTTTTTATGTATAGCCACATCACAACAGTGTGAATATCTTTTGGAAGGCCTTCATGGCTGTTCTACCAAGGTCTAGTCTGCAGAGTATTTGTTGATTGCTTTTTCCTTTAGTCTTGGGGGTTGATCATAAAAGGCACAAGCACTCCACCCTTTGATATCTTCATTGCCAATTCTAAGGCTGGTTTGTTCTATCTGTTACCATTAGTTTATCTTTTTTACATTTAATTTTATTCCCATTTTTTCACTATGCTTCATTATTATTATTATTATTATTATTATTATTATTATTATTATTATTATTAT